GGTCAAGAGATCGAGACCATCCTGGTCAACATGGTGAAACCCCATCTGTACTAAAAATACAAAAATTAGCTGGTGGTGGTGCGCACCTGTAGTCTCTGCTACTCGGGAGGCTGAGGCAGGAGAATTGCTTGAACCCAGGAGGCAGAGGTTGCGGTGAGCTGAGATCATGCCATTGCACTCCAGCATGGGTAACAAGAGTGAAACTCCGTCTCAATAAATAAATAAATAAATAAATAAATAATCCTTGGTCAAAGCACATGTGAGTTTTGAATTACAATGAATGCTGCAATCTTTGCTCCAAATTTGTCCAGATTTATACTGTCACCAAGAGTGCATTCCCTTGCTGGCACCAGATGTTACCAAGCCTTTTAATGTCTGCAGATCAAAGGCAAAATCTATCTCATGGTTTTAATCTGCAATAGCTAAGGAGCTAATGAAGACAGCAGGTTTCCATGTGTCTAAGAGGCAGTTGCATTTCTTCTGAGTTGTTTCCTCATACCACACCCCCCATTTTTATTTCCTTATCCTTTTTCATTCCTGTGTGGGTTCTTGCCTATATTAAGGATAGTAACCTTTATGTGTTATATACTACAACATCTTTCTCATTCTGTCATTTTTAATTCCATTTACGATGTCTTAAGTCATACGAATTTTTTTTTTTTGAGATGGAGTTTCGCTCTTGTTACCCAGGCTGGAGTGCAATGGCGCGATCTCGGCTCACCGCAACCTCTGCCTCCTGGATTCAGGCAATTCTCCTGCCTCAGCCTCCCGAGTAGCTGGGACTACAGGTACGCACCACCATGCCCAGCTAATTTTTGTATTTTTAGTAGAGACGGGGTTTCACCATGTTGACCAGGATGGTCTCGATCTCTTGACCTTGTGATCCACCCACTTCGGCCTCCCAAAGTGCTGGGATTATAGGCGTGAGCCACCGCGCCCGGCCCATACAAAATTTTTAAATTTTCATGGACTTAAATATGTCATGCTTTTACTTTATGGCTTGAGCTGTATGGCCTAAGGCCTTTTGCACTCCCAGACTTAGACAGCAGCAAAGGCTCTGGAAGGAGGCTTCCACCCCCATGTTCATAGCCTGCTGGTCCCACTTCCCAGCTGCATCTTTGTTCTATCTGTGCTTCTGTCGCATAGGCTTAATGTCTACTTCACAGGGTTGAGATGACAAAATGCATTCACCTTATGTGTGAGGTGCCTAGGACTCTGCCTGCTTCATTTAATTTTGGGGTCTTCACTAGACCCATCAATTGCCTCCTTCTCTTTCCTAAGGCCTGACACCCACAGAAGGTGGTAAAGGTGACCTCAGATCCAGACACGGAATCTGTCACTTGGACATCCTTATGTAATAAAATTAATGTTTATTATATATATAATTAATTATATTACATAAGCTTATATTATATAAGCACTTAGTGTTAGGAATATCCTAATTTCTTTACAGAATAATGATCACAAATAATGATATTAAGAGCTAACATGCAAGGAATGCCTTTTATGTGCCAAGCACTGTTTGTAGAGCTTTATACAAATTAACCAGCACAAGAGTCCTCCATCCTTAATGTAAAAATGTTCTCAATCCTTATATTTTATACTCGTGATTCAGAAACATTTCCTTTTAATTCTCTTGACAGTTATAAGAAGTATGTATCATTATTACCTCCATTGTACAGATGAGAAAACTGTAGCTTAGAGCAGTTAGGTCATTTGCACGAGGTCACATGCACCACAATGGCAAAGTGGGAATTCTAAGCCCACGTGAGTTCAGCATGGGGTCAGCCAGCACAGTGTGAGTGACTGGGTTATGGAATCAACTTGGAGGCTTCGATTGTTCTCTTATCCAGTCCCAGCATTCCCTGCCAAGGTCACTGGCAAGGCTGGTGCAACCCCCAGCAAACAACCTGGAACTATGTTAAGTAAAAGAGCTGGCTTACGAGTCAGGGGGCATAGAAGTGAGAAGTTGTGCATCTTCTCAGAGACAAAACAGGAGCAAAGGTGGTGGTAAACTGCAAATTCTAATTCTAGGTATTCCTCTTTAAAAGTGCCCACCTCCCATGGGCCATGCTCAAGTATTTCCACAGTTCCAGAGAAAAGAAGAATTTCCTGAAAACACAAGTGAGTTCAGGTACAGCCTGGGAGTCTCCAGCTGTAAACAGAGGAGAGACAGAGTAAAGCCTCCTCTCCACTCCAGCAACAAGGTCCCACAGGACACCAAGTGCCTGGGATGATGCTCAGGCAGGCAGCTGAGGGGGTGGTGGGAGTTCCCACAAAGAGGTTTATTCTGAAAAGGACCAGAAGTCCAGGGTCAAGGCAGTTCATAAATGAGTGAGGAGTTCTGGGTGTGAAGGGTGACCAGATGCCCCAGAAGACCCACCTGCCACATTAGTTCAGCAGGCTGCCTTCTGGGAGAGGCCCAGGTTGAGTGCTTGGAGTTAAAGGACATAGGGACAGCGGAGATGGATTTAGGAGATTCCCAGAATTCCTTCTGTGCTTTCTTATTTTGTTCCTGATTCCTTTAATTTTTTCCCAGAGGTATCACCATTCTTTCTGTCCTCTAATATCGTGCCTACACATCTGTATGGATGAGTGGATGGGTGAATGAATGGGTGGGTATATATATAAATGGGTGGATGGGTGGGTGGAAGGATGGGTGGATGATGGATGGATAGATGGATGAGTGAGGGGGTGGATGATGGATAGGTAGCCGGATGGTGAATCAATAGATGGATGGGTGGGTCAATGGTAGATGAATGAGTAGATGAATGTATAGGTGAATAGGTGGACAGATGAATGGATGAGTGAATAGGTGTATGGATAGATGGATGGGTGGGCAGGTAGATGAATGAATGAATAGGTGGACTAAATACATCCTCGGAAGCTTCCACAGACCTTCCTTCCAATCTCAGCATAAGCCATCCCCTTCAAGCAGCCCATGCTCTGCTCCCCAAACACACTGTACACTCTTCCCTCTGTGCCTTTGCAGGGATAGTCCTAACCTTTCTAAAAGTGCTTCTGCCCTCTTCTCTGCCTAATTCTACTCATGACCAGGACTCATAATAAGCTCATGCAAAAGCCCTCTCTTCACCTCCAACCAAACAGTATCCCCCTTTTCCAGGCTCATGACACATTCTTTAGCCCTTGGCTGTGAACTCCTTGGACACCTACTGCTAATTGTGCATGTTAAATGGCTTCTGTGAGCACAGGCAGGGTATCCTGGCCTCCCCACTCACACATCAAGGTCTAGGGTAGAAGCTTCCCCAGCACAGAGCCCCAGCCTGCACTTGCTTCTCTGTTGCACAGAACCAGAGAACAGGGAGTAATGCAGAGTGTGTATCACTTCCCTGAGATGGCATCTGGGAAAGGAGCCCAAAGACCAAGGCATCCTGCCAAGCCTAACTCCCCCTGGGCTTGCAGCTAGATGAGGGCCACAGCATGCCAAGAGCTCACAGGAGGAGGCAACAAGCATTGCAAGAACAAAGGTGGCAGCAGCATGCCATCCACAAAGTACACCAGCACTGCCCACCCATGGGTGGTTATGGAGATGTGTTAGTAAGCCTTGGCTAAAAAATACAATTCTAAGTTAGGATTGAGGCATCATTTTGTCTGTCCCATGTGGCCACTAAATTCTCTGAGAGAGAGAGCAAATTTCCAACTTACCATCAAACAGGTATTTTGGTTACAACAGACTGAACCCCAAAGTGTAATGACCACTAAGAAGGGGATTCTCAGTTGGGTACATGAGTTTAAGCATTTGTGTATATTTGTCAGCGCACATACACGCACACAGCAGAAAGTCTGGTCTTCACATACCGCACCCACCTTGAGGAAAAGGGAAAAGCAAATAAAGATACCACCTGTCACACTTCTCTGCATCCCAGGCACTGCAGTGGATGTTTCGCATCTGGCATTTTGGTGAAGGTGAAGGGCCTATTGTTGTGGATTGAATGGTGACCTATGAAAAGGTATGCCCATGTCCTAACCCCCAGAATATGTCAACAGGACCTATTTGGGAAAAAAAAGCCTTTGCAGATGTCATTATTTGAAGGATCTTGAGATGAGATCATCCTGGATTATCTGGGCAGGCCCTAAATCCAAAGACCTCTCTTTTTAAGAGAAAGAAGGGAAGACATGGCAGAAAGGAGAAGGCCATGTGAAGACAGATGTGGAGGCTGGAGTGATACAACCACAAACCAAGGACCACCCGGAGCCACTAGAAGCTGAGAGAGGCAAGACATGGCTCTCTGGAGGGAGCAAACCCCTGCCGACACTTTGATTTTGAGCTTCTAGCCCCAGAAGAGTGAGAATTAGGTTTTCTGATGCTCTGAGCCACTAAGTCTGTAGTACTTCGTTACAACAGCCCCAGGAAACTAGTACAAGACCCAAACATTTTCTGTGGCCCACGCAGGTACAGGGCCAGTAGTTAAGACTTATGCATTAATCATTTGGTCACAGAAATATTTAGACTGGAGTCAACCCATGCCAAAGCCAACTCCATTGACAGACTCCGGGATAACAGCATCTGTTTTACAAGGAAAGCAGTAACTTTCTTAAAAAGGGAAATAATGCAGAAGAGGAGGCCAGGAGTGAGTATTTACCCCAAAGGTCTCTAACAGGAGTCCTTAAATTGACATATTCCATAAAGTACATGTGTTTTTTCCCAGAAAACCTACAAAGCAAGCACGGAATAGATGGTACCCACCCCAAGGTGTGAACTGAGATTCTTTCCCAGAGCGATGCTTTGGTGTGATAAACATCACTACCTACTGGGACACAGGTCCCATAGCCTGAGAACCCCGGGGTGGCGTACAGGAGGGAAGAACTCACCACCCACTCCTCTGCTCATGGGGGCCAGGGTCACCCACCCACCCACATTCACCAGCATTTTAATGTCTCAGAGAAAGGTGAATACATCCACTTTTCAAGGGTACACAGTACATACACGATTTTAAATTCACAAGCGGCAAAATACGAGATAAAATCCATTGACTTACACATAGAATCCTTGAGAATTATCAATAATCTCATAAATCATTTGGGATTTGATGGAGCTAAGCTTCTCCATGGCCACGGCACCTCCATTGTTTTTAATCCACTCCAGGACCAAGCCCATAACGTAGATGCTAAAATGAAGATTTTTTAAAAATGTATTTAGCTCATCTTTGCAAAAGTAGAACTACATTCAAGCAAACTTCCATTTAAGTTGCATTAAAACAGACTTAACGCATTATTTGAAATAGACAAGATAGGTGCAATGGCTCACATCCCTAATCCCAGCACTTTGGAAGGCCGAGGCAGAAGGATCGTTTAAAGCCGGGAGTTGGAAACCAGACTAGGCAACAAAGCAAGACCCATCTCCACAAAAAATGAAAAATTAGTTGGGCATGATGGCAGGCGCCTATAGTCCCAGCAACTTGGGAGGCAAAGTGGGGAGGAATGCTTGATCCCAGGAATTCGAGGCTGCAGTGAGCTATGATCACCCCAATGCACTCTAGCTTGGGTGACAGAGCAAGACCCTATCTCCAAAAAAAAAGAAAGAAAGAAAACACACAAGACAGAAGCAGGGCCTGTGTGAACAAAAGCATGTCATGAAGCAAGGATTAGGGTCAATCCAATTCTAGACCCCTGGGGGCCATTCAGAAAAAGGTTTAATGAGAGTTTTCACTATCCTATCAGTTCCTCCCTGTCCAGCCCAAGCCCTAATGTAAACTCTTCATGACAACCAGAACACACTTCCCTATCTCCACCAGAAGGCATCTGCCGACCCCAATCATGCTCCTACCCAGAGCGGGCTCTTTACTTTCTCAACTCCCAGGGCACCTTGCCCATATTAGCTGCACAGTTTTTTTCCACTTGCTTCTTTATCTTAAGCTTCTGTGTGCCTGTGGTTTGGCCTGTGTGGTCTTGGAAGGCTAGAAGCACACACACTGTTCATCTTTTCTACTGACAGCCTTACCACAGTTCCTTCCAGCCAGCAGAGAGCAGTGTGGCGGAGTGGTTAAGAGGACTGACTCCAGTCACAGGGCAGCCACTCACTAACAGACTATCCAGGATTAGTTACCTTGGCTTTCCCATCTGGAACCCAGAGATACACCTACCTGCAGTGGACACTTGGCGTTTTATCCACCCTGTTCTTCCCACCTCCACCCTCCAGCCAATATGCAGTTCCAGCAAGGCCCCTGGCTCCTTGGTCTCAGAGGTGGGCATGGGACCTAACTGGGCTAATCATAATCAGGGCCTTCCCTGAGATTTTCTGAATTGGGAATGGGGAGATAGAGTGGGGAGAGTAGAGAAAGAGGCAGAATATTAATGCAACTGCGAGACAGGAGATGAGAGCCCTAGGGGGTCGTGTTTCTAGGAAACATCTGAAGAAGGCCCCTCTGAAAATGAAGCCAACGTTCCCACTGAGAGAAGCCAGGATGAGAAATGGAGAACAGATGGAGGATTCATGTCCCTGGTTCCAAGAAGTCCAGCTGTACCTCGGCCCTTCCCGCAGCTCAGGACCGTCCCTTTCTGAACCAAATATTTCCATTTCTTCCTGCCAGACCCATGCTCAGCATAGGACTTGGCAAGTGGCAGGTGGGCCACAAATGGCAATTAGTAGTCCCTTCACTTATGCTGAAAATACAAAACACTGAGGAGCAGCGGGTGGTTTTTCCCAGTCTGAAAACTCCTCTCCTTAAGAAGGTGCCGAAGGCTCCAAGTTGACTCAGTAAAAGCCCAGGGGACAGGAGCAGAGGACTCCCAGGGAGGAGATACCATCTCCTTTGGGTTGGGAGTCGGGAGGTCAGCTGCCAACTATGCCCTCTCCAGAGGTGTGAATCAAAGGTCACCTATGGGAATTGTGCAAAAAGTTATTGGAGTCAATGCTCAGCTAAGATCTGGGGGGGATACCCAGTTGCTTCCTCCTTTAATTAACAGGAGGGGTCTGGAAAATGCTTTAACAGCCAGCAGCTTGTCACAGGGAGGCTCCTTATACCAACTCGCTCATTCACTGTCTCAAGCGGGACCCAAGGCCTGGGTGTGGTGACTCATGCCAGCTCATGTTGGCAAAAGCCAACACCAGGCTGCCCAGAGGGGCCTTAGGCAGGGAGCAGCCAGCTCCCACAATCATCTAACAACCTCTCCTGAAGCTTCGCTTCCCCAGCCTAACTCCCCAGACAGCACCGGGAAGAAAGAGTAATTAGTGGCTGCTGGCAGAAAGGGAAGGCGGGGAGGAAGAGAAAACAGCCCCTGAGAAATCCACAGCCTCAGCGGTAGCTCTCTGGCTAATGTCCAAGAAGTCAGAGGGACAAAGGAGAAAGAAGGGAGGAAGTAAGAGAAAGGAATGAGTACTTCCTGAAGACTAGTGTGGCCTCAGCCTATTTTTATTGATCACAATAATCCTCAGGTTAAAACCAACATCATCCCATTTTGCAGATGAGGAAACTGAGACTCAGAGAGCTTAACTTGCCTCAAGTTATCCAGCAAGCAGCGTAAGCCAGGACTCCAGCTCCAGCCTGTCTGACTCCAAGAGTACATGCGCTTCCCACGAGCATCCAGGCATTCTACTTTGCCAGGGGCTGTAGGGCCCCAGCCACTAGCTCCTCTGCAAGTGGGACTACAGGGCTGGGCTCTCACCACACACCAGTCACAGTGGCCAAGTCCAGCACACAGCACACACACACACATGGGTGTGCCTTCCAGACGTGTTGCTGCCCAGCCCTCTGTTCCAGCAGATGCTCTACAGTTCCCACTCAACTTCCGACTGCTCCTCTCCCACACCTGCAGCCTCTCCCCCTCACCTCCACAAAGAACCACAGAAACTCCCTGCCATGTGACTGAATCCAAGCAGAGGCTCCCTGTGCCAGGTCACCAACAATACTTCCAGGTGACCAAACTTCACTTTTGCCTGCAGCTCTGTTATCCCAGGGTTTCAAAGCTGATATGGGCCCTTGCTGCACTGTGGATTTGGTTTCTCTAAATCCAAAGTGCAGCAAGGGCCCAGGTCAGGTTCACCGTCCTAGGAAGACCTCAGTACTGACACCTGAACCCCTAGCTGGCTGCTGTGCTCACACTCACCGCCCATGCTCTCTGGCTTGCTTTCTTTTTTTTTTGAGACGGAGTCTTGCTCTGTCACTCAGGCTGGGGTACAATGGTGTGATCTCACTCACTGCAACCTCTGCCTCCCAGGTTCAAGCAATTCTCCTGCCTCAGCTTCCCAAGTAACTGGGACTACAGGCATAAGCCACCACGCCCAGCTAATTTTTGTATTTTTAGTAAAGACAGGGTTTCACCATGTTGGCCAGGATGGTCTCAATCTCTTGCCCTCATGATCCGCCCACCTCCACCTCCTAAAGTGCTGGGATTACAGGTGTGAGACACCGGATCCAGCCCTTCTGGCTTTCTTAATGGGATCTGAGCAGGCAGAGCAAGCAGAAAGCTACCCACTTTTAGGGGCTGCCTGGAGCCAGCACCCTTAACCTGGGTCTGTGAAGCCTCAACAAGAGGTAGACAACTCAGAAGCAAGCAGGCTGTCCTGAAGACTGGAAGACATCCCTGGGGTAGAAGGTCCTGCTGTTTCCTCCCACCTGGCCCTCTGCACAGCACTGATGTCTGGCCCCTGTGACCCTACTTAACACAAGACCCTCATGGCTTCTAATTCTTTATTAACTCATGTTTCTACTCCCATACAATCTAAAATCTCGAGTGAGGAGAAACTCCCAGACAAAAGCTCTAAAGTGCTTACGCAACTTAACATTGTGGTATCACTTCTTCCCACTACTAGTATGACCTTTTTAACAGATTTATGCCTTCATTTCTAAAATGCCACCTGCAAACACACAGGATAGAGTTCCTAAGTCTGCCTATTAAATGCTTAAATAAATCAAGGTATGTGCATTCTACAGGACACCATATATTAAAAAAAAAAAAAATGCCCGATTGCAGTGGCTCGTGCCTGAAATCCCAGCACTTTGGGAGGCCAATGTAGGAGGACAGCTTGAGGCCAAGAGTTTGAGACCAGCCTGGGCAACATATTGAGACCATGTCACCACAAAAAAATTTTTTTTGCAGCCAGGCATGGGCACTTGCCTTTAGTCCTAGCTACTCAAGAGGCTGAGGTTAGAGGATCACTTGAGCCCAGGAGTTTGATGTTACTGACAGCTATGATCATGCTGCTGCACTCCAGCCTGGGCAACAGAGCATGACCCTATCTCTAACAAAAATAAAATTTAAAATTTAAAAATAAAAATAGGCATTTGAGCTGACATAGCAGAATGCCCATGATATATTGTGGAGTGAAAAAAAAATTTGTATGGTAAATTTCAAGTTCCATTTGCATGATTAAATATATGACTCTGTATATTTGCATATGCCCAGTTAAGGGTCTGTTAGAATACACAGCAAGCAGTGAATAGTTGTTACCCTGGTGACTCTGCCCACTTGCATGTCTTTGCTAAGAGTGTGTTACTGTTTGTTTCTTTTTCTTTTTCTTTTTTTTTTTTGAGACAGAGTTTTATTGTTAACCAGGCTGGAGTGCAGTGGCATGATCTTGGCTCACTGGAACCTCCGCCTCCCAGGTTCAAGTGATTTTTCCCACCTCAGCCTCCCGAGTAGCTGGGATTACAGGTGCCTGCCACCATACCCGACTAATTTTTATATTTGTAGTAGAGACTGGTTTCATCATGTTGGCAAGGCTGGTCTCAAACTCCTGACCTCAGGTGATCTGCCCGCCTTAGCCTCCCAAAGTGCTGGGATTACATGCATGAGCCACCGTACGCAACCTAAGAGTATGTTACTGTTATAAATTTTTTAAAGCAATATGAAATATTCCCTGTGCACCAGGGCTTAGCAAAGGACACCAGAAAGTCCCCCAGAAAACTCTCCTGGGCTGTTCTAAGACTCCAACTCTGCAGATGTGCTTCTTAAGTTGATGTTATGGCACAGTTTTCTCAGGAATTGGTGAAAGTAGCCACTGAGTTGAGCACTTTTCCCAGAGGAAAGCTCCCAAAACTGGCTCTATTACACACCCAACTCGGGATTCTAGGATTCCAGGCATCTCCCATCCCACTGGGAGAAAACAGTCTGGGACCAGTGAAGCCCTCCAAACAGGCCCACAGACTTAATCTGCATGCTCCCATTCTTTTTCTGTTGTTTTTTATTTTTTATTTATCTATATATTTATTTTTGAGATGGAGTTTCGTTCTTGTTGCCCAGGCTGGATTGCAATGGCGCAATCTCTGCTCAAGGCAACCTCTGGCTTCTGGGTTCAAGTATTTCTCCTGCCTCACCTTCCCAAGTTGCTGGGATTACAGGCATGCACCACCATGCCCACCTGATTTTTGTATTTTTAGTAGAGACAGGGATTCTCCATGTTGGTTAGACTTGTCTCAAACTCCCGACCTCAGGTGATCCACCTGCCTTGGCCTCCCAAAGTGCTGAGATTACAGGCGTGAGCCACAGCACCCAGCCTGCTCCCATTCTTTTAAAAGGTGGCCTAAATTAATGGTTTCTTTGTTTTGTATTTTTATTAGTTACTTCACCTCATACTGTAGCTATAACAAATGTCTGCTTGTGTATTCAGTTAGTCATGGTAAGTAAAAAATATTTTGTGTAATCAGAAGGCAAGTTTAGGGATCTTTTTCCATATCCACTAATTGAGGTTAGTGTGTTCTACTGAAAGGTTAAAGAGAACAGCAGCATGTTCTTTTTTCCACTCCAGTTCATTGCTGAGGGATACAGAGCAACAATTTGAAGGCAGTTTTATCCAGCACAATTAAATCAAAGTTCCCAGGGCCTGTGGTCATTAGACTCCGTGGGAGGTGGGGGGAGAAGCATGGCATCTTTTCAAAAGTGAGGACTTTTTCAACTTTCAACTCTACTCCGTCATACAAAGTTCTGCAGGATTCCTGGTACCCCAACAGCCTTCCATTTGCAGCTTGTTTTCACTGGGTAAGCTATGATTTTCTAACCTTGCATGTTTAAGTACTGTAAATGAACTCCATTTAAAGTCATAGATTTATGTTTAATCTTCAATCATAAAGAATTAGAACATTTTTTTTCTTCTTATGAGGTAAAAAGAAAGCAAAGCAACTTCTAGGGAGTATCTTGGAGTCAGAATACATTGATATCTATGATCTTCTCTATTTACAAATTCTCATCATATTAGTAACAATCCTGACTGGCCCTGAGATGGTCTCAGTGATCACTGTTCTGATCTGTGTAGGAGAAAAATTGGCCCCTTTTCTGCCCTTGTTTCTGGCTCTGTCCTTCCTCAGGCAGGAAAGCTCTGGAAGACAAAAACTCTTCCTGCCTCCTTCCTACCCCACATTCCCACCCCCAGGTGGACCAGAGGAGCCCAACCACCGGTCAAGGTCAGGCTAAGGCCTGCACAGGGGGTGGTAGGGCAGTCAGCATATGAGAAACTGTCTTCTAGGACAACTTTCTGTGTCTCCAGGTCTGACTCTAGCCATCTTCATCTCCCATTAGAGAGACTGGCCTGCTTTCTCACTGTTCCCAAGAATGGTTTCTCCCTTGATATTAACAAACAGCACATGTTAATGTGATCTATCCTTTTTTAAAAAATGCTCTTCAAGGTAACCCTTGGAGAAGGCACCAGGGGGTGAGTGTCCACCCTGCCCCAAGTTGTACCCTGATCACAATTTGCTGGCTGTGGAAAGTTCAGGGACAGCCCTCTTTCCCTGCCCCTCTTACCTTCTCACTTCTGAAATGGGTGATGGCCTTGGGCTCCTCTGAAAGCCTCCTCTAGCTGCAAGGCAGGCCCTGGCCCCATCTCCAAACAAGTAAGTACAGCCTCCTCTCCCTCCATCTGCCATGTGCACCCTGGCACCTCGGCCCTTTCTCCAGGAGGCCAGCACTTGAGGTTCCTGGCTGTACCCTCACTGGTCAGCCTGCCCAGTTCTCCTGTCCCAGTTGGACAGTGACCACTGGTGCTTCCTCAGAGGTAAGATGGGCGAGTGGGAGGTAGGAATCAGCCCCATCACCATCCCTACCATACATTTTAGAAACATTTCAACCAAGGTGAAAGACAGTAGGGTTTAGAGCTGACCCGGAGAGTGTACCCCAGAACACCCTATTCCTGAGGAAAGTAGGGGACACAATGTGAGGAGCTGCTCTGCATCGTGTGACCATGAAGAAACCCAGTGGAATTTTCACCAGAATTCTAACATTGAAAAAAAATTCCACCCAGGTGCGGTGTCTCACACCTGTAATTCCAGCACTGTGGGAGGCTGAGGCAGGTGGATCACCTGAGGTCAGGAGTTCAAGAGCAGCCTGGCCAACATGGTGAAATCCTATCTCTACTAAAAATACAAAAATTAGCCAGGTGTGGTGGTGGGCACCTGTAGTCCCAGCTACTTGGGAGGCTAAGACAGGAGAATTGCTTGAACCCGGGAGGCGGAGGTTGCAGTGAGCCAAGATTGTGCCACTGCACTCCAGCCTGGGTGACAGAGCAAGACTCCATCTCAAAAAAAAAAAAATCCTTTCTGTCCCATAGTAAATTATGTAGAAGCCATTTTTCCTAAGCAGCACCTAGAGGAGGGGAAACTCTGACAAAATCCTGACCCAGATGGAATCACCAACTGCACCAGCCTCAGCCCGTCTTTCCTATGATCCTTTAAGAGAACTTCCACCAAGACAGAAAAATCCTGTTGCGGGAAGAGCTGGACTCCAACAGTGATCATTCTCCTGAGGCAGAATACTGTAAATCCACACTCATCCTTTTGCTGGTGAATGAAGAGAGAACACTAATGGCAGAATGTGCAGACCCAGGATCTAGAGTCAGATGGCCTGGGTCCACAGCCCAGCCAGGCCACTTCCGAAAATACAACCTCGGCTTCTTTACTTGCAAAATGGAAATCATGATCCTAATAGTGGCTACCTCCCTGGGTGGTCGGGAGGATTACATGGTCATATACACATGAAGAATCACCCTTCTGTATCATAATGGACCTGGAAAGATAAATCTACAAACTCCATACATATACATGCATACATCTAAATAAATATATATATATAAATTTTAGATGTAATTTTTATATAAATATATAGATGTAAATTTTATATAAATATATATATAAATTTTAGATGTAATTTTTATATAAATAAATATATATAAATTTTATATAAATATCTATATAAATTTTAGATGTAATTTTTGTATAAATATGTCAATTTTATATAAATATATATAAATTTATTTGTAAATGTATACATACATGTGTACATACACATGCATACATATAAATGATACACACACATAAATTAATATGTATCTATAAATAAAATAGATGTATATCTCAACTCATTTTGTCTTCACAGCAACCCAATGAAAAGGTACTATTATTACTTCTAGAACCTACTACACAGACATGTTAAGTGACTTGCCTAAGATCACACAGCCAGTAAATACTAGACTCTCTTAGGCAATTGTTAAATCTTATGAGTCATGAAGATTTCCTCAAAATACCCAAGTTTGGGAGTTATGGGATCCTGAGGCAGGGCAACCTTGCTCTCCCTGAAGTGCTGCAATGCAGCCCCCACTCAGCAAATGAGAGCCAGGCTAAAAGGACCTCTTCGATTAGGCTACAAAACAGAAAGGCATTTAAACCAGTATGTTCACTGTCAGGCAGCCAGCTTCCCGCAGGCCCAGCAGAGAAAGAAATGAAAGCAGTGGAGGCCCAGCCTTTGGAAGTTCTTCTCCAAAGCTGCACTGATTGTTTGAGATGCAGGCCACAGCACCTCATCTACAGAGAGGTTTTGGGTTAATGGGTAACACACCAGGCCCTGGATTACCAAGCTCAAATAAAAAACAACACAAGAAAGTACAAGAGGAAAAGCTGGCCAAATAGTAAAGAGAGGGACCAGAGGGAGAGGAGAGCCAGGCAGAGAATCTGATAGGATATCTGGGGCATTCAGTCACTGGCTCCTGAAAACATGCTTTACTTGATTATTACTATTATTATTATTATTTATATAGAGTCTCACTCTGTCACCCTGGAGTGCAGTGGTGCAATCTCGGGTCACTGAAATCTCCACCTCCTAGGTTCAAGCAATTCTTCTGCCTCAGCCTCCCGAGTAGCTGGGATTATAGGTATGTGCCATCACGCCCAGAAAATTTTGTATTTTAGGTAAAGATGGGGTTTTGCCATGCTGGCCAGACTGGTCTCCAACTCCTGACCTCAAATGGTCCGCCCACCTCAGCCTCCCAAATTGCTGGATTACAGGCATTAGGCACTGCACCCGGCCTCACATGCTTTACTTTAAAATGTAACCTCTGCTTGGATGAAAAAATAGTGAAACCCCTCCGTAAGTCTACAGCCTGCCTCCCAGAGTTACCTGAAACATGGAGGCGTGTTGTACAAGGAGTTGTTTCCAGCCTGCACCTTGTACTCCAGGACTGAGGGGCACTCTCGGAGGGCAAACCCCAGCAGGTCATCACGGACAATCACCACGGTGACCCCAGCAGAGCCAACATTCTTCTGGGCACCAGCAAAAATCACACCAAACTTAAAAAGAGAAAAACATGCTGTTTAAGAAGGATTTGGCCATTTTTGATACATGTATGCAAACTTCCCAACTCTTCCTAACACACAATTTTTTAAGGAAATGACTCTATCCTGTGTGAGTAATAGTCCATGCTCTAAAGCAATATCCATCTGAGATGGCAAACCCATACTCAGAGTTTCAAAGCCTGAGGATGGTCTATCAGCCTGGTCCTCACCTGGATGGGGCTAACCCCACCACTGCAAAATCCTGGTACACACTCACACTTGCTCTACATACCTCCTTTCTACCCCAAGTCCATCTTTACAATGGACCCTCTAACTCCCTGGTAACCAAGAAGAGAAACAGATTTTGTAATCTATTTAAATCTGTATAAAGGGACAGTGAGAAGATGCTGAGAAAGGGACTGCTATGACAAAGAGAAGGGGTGGACAAGCTGCCTGAGGGAGAAGAAATTACAGAAAAGATGTTTAAAGGTACTTTAGGTAATTCTGTTGTGTAAGATACAGAACCCTCCCCCATGCCTCTCTCCATGAAACCCTTAGGAAAATTCAGAGTTGGCAGGGAGGTGGGGGTGGGGGACAGTAATTTATAGTTGTTTAAAATTGCCAGTGCTTCGAGGTCAGGAGTTCGAGACCAGCCTGGCCAATATGGTAAAACCCCATCTCTACTAAAAATACAAAAATTAGCCAGGCGTGGTGGCATGCACCTGTAAACCCAGCTACTTCAGAGGCTGAGGTAGGAGAATCGCTTGAACCCAGGAGGCAGAGGTTACAGTGAGCTGAGATCATGCCACTGCACTCCAGTCTAGGCAACAGAGCAAGACTTCACCTCAAAAAAAAAATTGCCAGTGCCTGATGATAATAAAAAACAAACCATAAACCAAATACAGTATCTCCAAACCATGGAATATTATTCAGTTTAAAAAAGAAAGTTCTGACACACACACTACAACATGGATGAATCTTGAAGACATTCTGCTAAGTGTCATAAACCAGACACAGAAGGACAAATAGTACATGATTCCCTACTTGGAGGTACCTAGCATAGTCAAATTCACAGAGACAGAAAGTCGAATGGAGGCTGCCAGGGGCTGGAGGGTAGGGAGTGTGGGAGTTCATGTTTAATGTATAAACTTTCGGTTTGGGAAGATGTAAAAGTTCTGGAGATGGATGGTGGTGATGGCCGCACAACAATGTGAATGCCCTTAATCCCACTGAACAGTGCACTTAAACATGGTTATCATGGTTACCATTAAATGGTAAATGTAAGTTAAATGATAAATTGTATTGTAAGTATATTTTATCCCAATTAAAAAGGCAGAATACCACTCAGTCAGTTCAGCTGTTAGATTCTTTACCCACATTGCCCCCTGAGGCATGGACCTGGAGCACCAGTCCCACTGCCCAGCTTTGGTGAGCCACTCATAACACCTATGTATCCTGTTGATGCTTTTGGAGTGGAGGTGGGTACCAGGCAAGGGGAAGCTTCCTCACATAAGTCCCCTGGACTCGGGATAATCTGCTTCTGCTCTTGAAGACAAGTCACTCCCCGACCAAACAAGTTTCTAAGAACTACTCTCAAAAGAGGACTCAAGTGGGACCCTGCAAGGCAATCCTCATCACAAGGCTGGGAACAGCAGGACTCAGGTACTTCAACAGCTGGGACTTCGCACCTGGCAGCCTGCTCACTGGCAGCTGCCCTGGCTCAGGGGTTCTGCAGGCCCCAGACACCCATGGTTCTTCCTGTTCTTATATATATAAAAATGCCCTTGCAGAAGCCAAGTCAGTGGGTTCCCCCCACGCTGCCTTTTATACTCTACCTTAGAAACATCCACTGGCTTGGAAAGGAAGTTTGAGGACATGTCACAAACCAGTACTACTCCCTTGACGTCAGGTATAAAGTCAAACTCAACACCATGCACCGTCTCATTTGCGCAATAATACACGTAGGAGGCATCCGGGTTGAGGTTCCAGGTGCTTGGATCTGGAATTTCTATCACAGAAGACAAGTTTGAGACTCTGCACTTTCACTCTCCTCTTTCCTTATGCAGATGGGAGTCAACCAGGAGACTGACAGGCCTCCCCTAGAAGGGAAAGACTAACTGACTCCAAAGCCTTGCACACATGAGCACCAGCACCCTCCCAGCCTCATCCTTTGTTACCATTGTTACCAACATCCTGAGAGGATGAGCGATGCAACCTTTTGACTTTTACTGGGAACAAATCATCTTCAAAAATGGCATGGGAAGGTGGGCATGGTGGTGTGAGCCTATAGTCCCGGCTACTTAGGAGGCTAAGGCAGGAGGATCACTTGAGCCCAGGAGCTGGAGGCTACAGTGCGTTATGATTATGCCTGTAAAGAGCCACTATACTCCAGCCTGGGTAACAGAAAGTCTCTGTCTCAACAAAATAAAATAAGTTTTTTTTAAAGGCATGGGAGATATCTGAGTTTTCACTTGTCACCCAGTATCCATCTAGCCTTCATCTATTGATGGGCTAGTAGTTTCTTCTTGGGACCCCAGCCCTCACTGACTAACAGCCCATGTAGTTCCAGGAAGCCAATGAAACCCACAGCCAAGAGGTAGAATGCAACTCAGACACGGCCACAGGTACTGATTCAGAATGGGGCACAGGAGACATGAGACTATTACTGGGAATGCTCTGCAAAGGTACTGAAACTTGGGAGAATATAAGGTCAAAAAGAGCTGCAGCCACCTTTCAAGAAAAGGACAGCTTTTCCTGCCTGCGGAACCACCAGGTCCTGCAGACATTGTTGGAGCCCCTGATCAAGCCATATCTAAAGCCAAACCAGCTCCTGGACTTTTTCAGCTAATCAGCTGAAAAGCTACTGCTAACTACTCACTAGCTTCTGTAATAAGAGTATGCATAGGCCAGGCGCAGTGGCTCACTCCTGTAATCCCAGCACTTTGGGAGGCCAAGGCAGGCAGATCACCTGAGGTCAGGAGTTCAAGACCAGCCAGGCCAACATGGTTAAACTCCATCTCTACTGAAAATAAAAAAAGTAGTCAGGTGTGGTGACAGACACCTGTAATCCCAGATACTCGGGAGGCTGAGGCAAGAGAATCACTTGAACTTGGGAGGCGGAGGTTGCAGTGAGCCAAGATTGCACCACTGCACTCTAGACTGGGTGACAGAGCAAAACACCATCTCGAAAAAAATAAAAAATAAAATAAAAGTATTCATAGGCTCTAGTCTTAGCTAGTACAGCCAACTAATGTAAACGGTAACAAACTAACAACTGACAAGGGGAGAAATGAATTGAAAACTATAGATTGCCCTGGGCAGGAATAACCCACCAGTCAGCATTTCACCACCCAGCTCAGCTCCCAGAACTTACTTGTGTAACTCCCAAGTTTAGGGTGAACGATATTTATAGTCCCAAACTTCTTGGCTTCTTCTGCAGCCTTAGCTGACCAAGATCCTGTCACCACATAGTCCGCACATCTTCCTGCTTTCAAGCCAATCAGGTTTAAGGGGACAGCACTGAACTGGCCGGACCCACCTCCTTGCACAAAAATCACCTTATAGTTGTCTGGAACGGCTCTGGACAGAAGCACAGGTAACAGTAAATACATGGACTCATGTGGTCAAAGACTGAGAACAAGTGATGCTCTACCAAGTGCTTTACCTTGGGTGGATTTACTACAAGAAATATGGTAACGTTCTAATACCACTTTATCTTCCCTAATTCACTCATTTATCTATGCGACAACTATTTACTGGGGACTGTGTTGAAAGCCTAGGGTTACTATTCCTCCTCTTCCTAGTGATAACACCTTAATGTTCCTTTAGGAAATTACCCCTCTGTCACTCTAGTCCACATGGTTCAACTGTGGTCAACCCCGGCTCAAGGTGATAAGCACCTACCCCAGGCTGGCCAGTGAAATTTGGTACTGAAATCTTTACTCCCACTTCTGGGTAAGGAAAGCTGTTTCTATTGAGGGAAAGAAGAAACTTGTAGGAGCTAATCCTGTAACCAATGGTGGCCACCTGATGAAGAGAACACGCAAGAAAGCAGATCCAGAAGATGGGGGAAAACCACTTTCCTGGGATCATTTAGAAGCACCTAAATCCTCCTGCATTCTTCTGTTAGGTGAGATAATACATTTCTTTTTACTTAAGCCAGTGAGTGGGGGTCTTATAACTTGCAACCAATGATCCTGTGTTACGTACCATGCTATGAACCAGGTGGATGATGGGCAGGAGTTTTCAATAATGTTTAGCCATGAAAGCATATATCTATTATACTTTAAAATAAAAAGCAAAATTCTTTGACTCCTGGATGAAAAATTAGGATAATAATGAGAATGTCTACAGGCAGTAGAATAAGGCCAACTCCAAAAGCACGAGGCCATGGAAGCTGGACCCAAGCCTTTGAGTAAGGTCAGAGCCTGGGAATAGGTGTACAGAAGCCAGATGGCCAGGGAACAGAGCTCCAGCAAAGATACAGAGGTAAATTAATAAAGGGCAGGGCAACGTGGCAGGGTCTTGGGGAATGGGAGATAGGTAAATATCTTGTCCTGAAATATGCATGTCCTACATTCAGTGCTCTCAGTAGGATAGCAAGCTACCAGCAAGTCTCAGGAGACTCTAGCCATGAGGTTCTTAGCAGCTGGGAAGACTGAAAACCCAAGACAGAGTTCCAGGTTCATATTATGCAGATATAGAGCAGTTAACAAGGCCAGGAATTAGATGGAAGGAAACCAGGCTGAGGTCTAAGCACAGGTATACAAGGTAGAACCCAGGTTAGGACAAGAAAAGGTAAGACCTCAAATTGAACTGGGAGCCCAGTCAGAAGAAGCTCATAGCCATGTGGTCAAATGCCATCTCTTCCAGGCTAATGTTCTAAATACCCACTCCATGAAGGACAGGATTGTCCTGTGAATATAACATGATACTCAGCAGGCCAACGGACGTGGGAAGCCAAGCAGATGGCTACCAACTCTGAACATTCACACTGTAATTAGCGTCTACTGCTCCTCACAGAAATACCACCAAGCCTGCCCCATCTGAATTATTTTATCAAAGCAATTTGAAAAAGAAAGTGTGAAATAATCAGTATAATTCTAATTTTATTACTGTAATAATGTAAGAATGGGTCCTAACATATTAGTTATTATCCCTGACTGGTGGGGTTAAAGTTAATTCCAGTTTAGTTGAGAGCTACAATGTTTTTACTGAACTTTCTACCATAAATGTGCATTATTTTTGTGAGCAGGAAAAAAAAATGGTATGCTTTCAAAGTTTGTAGGTTTATGTGAACATATTTATATAATATATAAGAATCTCTCTTTAAACAGCAATCTATTTAAGAATAAAGTGTCCTCTGGATAGGAAAGGCAGTGCAGATAACCCAGGTTTTATCAAAGCAGCAGTTCCTAGAGTTCAGAACTCTTAAAATTACCCAAAGAGCCTATTACAAATAATTTCTCGAGATTATGATTTAGGTCTAAGTGGTGCCCACGACTTGAATTTTTTAATATTCCCCCCAACCAGGTGACTGTGACAGATGGCATGAGACCCCAACTTTGAGAACCCCTGAAGTAATTTGTAGCCAATTATGCTGACAAAGATGACCATTTCTTTGTCATTTACATCCCTTTCGTGCCAGTTTAACTACCTGGAAAGCTGGAAAACCTTTCCTAGATACCATGATTTCAAATCTTTGGAAATATCACAGAAAATAAGAAGAAAAACCTACAAACACAGGATGGGGAAAAAGTAAAAAGCATATGTACTAATAGTGAGTTGGAAAGAATCTTAAAAGGATTATTTTTAATTATGGAATATTCTGAACAAACAATAGACTGTAAAAATAATGGAAGACATTCAGGTTTAGGAAGTATCTAACAAAAGTAACGTAATTTGGTCTTTTTTAAACTTACAGCAATTCCCGCACGAGATTCTCTGTATTGTTAATAATCTTGGCAAAATCTGATGATCTGTGACTCATTTCTGTGAAAGAAAGATAAACAAGAACAAAAAAAGTTCCACTTTAAAACTAAATGAACAGAAACACCTATGCAATTTGCAAGTAAACAATAAAGAGAAATTTCAGGTATTCTGCATACAAATTGTGGGCCAAGGCTCACTTACTTTAGGGGATCATCCAAACTGATTTTCAAATTCCAAACATTTCAGCTTTACAGTCATGGCAGGATTTTTCAAGGGGCACATTCATTGTTCAAGCTATTTATTAATTCACCACTCTGTGATGTTCTCTGTGATTCTCCCTACCATCTCTTTCTCACAAACAGGAATCCATGTGCAACAGGTGCCCTTTAGGATAAGAGCACAAAATTCTATGCTTGCTCTGAGACTGTATCTTTCTTATAGACAGCATTCACTGAAAACAGTTCTATAAAAGTTTATAACCAAAATAATTACAAAGAATTTTAAAGACTTCTACAAAAGACTTCTACTTAGGTCTCACTTCATAGAAATCTAGGTGTATGTCCCAAACCAAAAAGAACAAAACGTAACAGAAATAAGCAATAAAGTAAACCTTATGGTCTCTTAATACCATTCAGTCTTAGGACCTATCAAAAATAAAAGAAAATAAGTTTTAGAATGCAGAGTTCCTCTTCCCCAAAAATATAGGGGAAACACTTAACAATGAAATTATTAATGTGCAAGGTCTTCATAATAGGCTTATATACTTTTAAACTTTAATAAGGTTATATTTAAGTATAATAAAAACTGTAAATTAAATGTAAAGCAATATGATAAATGTTTGGAGGCATTGTTATGCAAATTTACAGTATCTTCTAATCCTGGGTCTTGTGATTAGCAAAAACCAATTATGACAGGGCTTACCCTGGCAGAGCCTCTCACCAGCATTTATGCTGTTTTTAAAATGGTTTTTATCAAACATTCAACCTAAGCTATTAAAATTTAAAGATACATCTGTAAAGGCCTATAGGAAGACCCTATAGGCTCTGTAATTCTATATTTGATGCATTTAAATTAGTTCCCTTTGGGCCAGGGCTTGGTGGCTCAAGCCTGTAATCCCAAAACTTCAGGAGGCCAATGTAGAAGGATTGCTTGAGGCCACAAATTTGACATCAGCCTGGGCAACAAAGCGAGACCCCATCTCATGGGGTCTTTAAAAAATGTTTTAAACATTTTTTAAAACTTAGCCAGATGTGGTAACATGTACCTATAGTCCTAGCTACTCAGGAGGCTGAGGCAGGAAGCTCACTTGAGCTCAGGGGTTAGAGGCTGCATGAACTATGATCATGCCATTGTATTCCAGCCTGGGCAACAGAGCAGGACCCTGCCTCTTAAAAAAAAAAAAAAGTTTCCTTTGAAACTGGACATGCACAGAATTCAAAAATAAATCTTACCAAGAACACTAATGCCAACTCCTTTGTAGTCTAATAATTCCTTTTGTATCTCCAACAACACCTAGAAAAAAATTAAAGAAAATAAGGTGATTTCAATATGCTTTGCACAGCTTTCCCTCTGCACATACAAACCTGAAGGGACGAGGAAAGGTCTATAGTGAGGTCCTCAGGTATCCATCCCCACCCACACCAGTCCCCTTCCTCCCCATGTCCACAAAGCCAGTGATGATGCAACTTACACACAAGGTAAGCATGAAATTAGGCAATGTGACTGATGCCGATACACTTTTTCCAAAGGCATGAATGTACCGATTCCCTAGAAAATGACCCCTTCACAAATCTCATTCACCACTCTCCTAAAGCTAAAGTACAGTGTTAAATAAAGTACAGAAAGGTTCTGGGTTAAAGGAACAACAACAACAAAAAATTATGCCCAAATTATACAGGTAACTGGAGTTTCTGATCCCTTTTTGTCTAAGTGCTAGACTGGGAAGCATGGGGTGGGCAGGAAGAAGGAAGAGGCTGCTGTGAGTAAGATTTGTCCCAGGGTGCTGCAACAAGACCGGCACAATGTTATAGTTGTTGGGTCTCAGAGATGGGTCCTTGGAGGTTCATTACACTACCTCTTCCTTTGTGTATGTGAGGATTCCCGTAATAAAAAATAAAGAGAAAAAGAAAAGCTTTTAAAATGAATATAAAATAAGTGCAAAAGCAACCAGCCAGAGGAGGTCTACAAATAGGAGGCAGTTTTTTTTTTTTTTAAAGGTGCTAGCTAAGGAAGGCATTAGTAAAGCATAGCTATAACGTAAACTGGATTGGAACTTGTCTGAAAAAACAATATTCTAACAATAAAGAATGAGACAAAAAAAGACTGCCTTGACGACTGGTTCTAAGAATGTGTTATTGTTTTCTGAAATGTTGGATGCTTGTTAGCACTGGCTGATCAAATAAACTAGAGTGAATCTTTTCATTTAGTAAAGAGAAACATTCATCTGTGAATAATCTTTGAACTTGCTCTGAGAGTGTATGTTTCTTATAGACAGCATTCATTGAAAACAGTTACATAAAAGTTTATAACCAAAATAATTACAAAGAGCTCTAAAGACTTCTATCCAAAAATCACACCTCCCTAATCTAGTAAGTTTTTTTCAAGTTGCAAAATGCAACTTGGATCACAATTAAATTTGTTTTAAGGCTTGTTTCATTTTAATGGCTGATCCATGTAATCATGGAGGCCAGTATGTACAGACAAAGGGGGAGCTTTTATTGCTTGGTCTCTTCCTCTCTGGAGAAAGTCCTGATAACCTCCTTCTTCTTGGCCTGGAGGCCTCTTCATGGCACTTGCATGCTTCCTTGGTCTTAGACCTGCCGGCCTCAGCCTGGTCAGCCTTAAACTTCTGGGCTCAACAGATCCTCCCACCTTAGCCTCCTAAGCTGCTGGGACAACAAGCGCACATCACCACATCCAGCTCAAGACTAATTTTTTTTTAATCAAACAGAACAGACTAGAGTAGGATAGAATACAAAATAGTGTATATCACAGGTAATTGGGCTACACATCATAAGGCTTTTATTTTTATTACAATTGAATGTGTATCCTTTGTCATTTTGTAACCATGATTTTCACTGTAGGTTACAGTCAAAAAAAAAAGTTTGAAAGCTTCTCTAATCTCTACAATTCAACTAAATCAAGGAAACACATAAACAGCAACATTTGCCTGCCCCCTCGCCCTCTCAACCGCGCAGGTTACATGCAATCCAAGGGCAAAAATCCTCCCAGAAAAATTAATAATAAATAATTGTGTTACTGATGACAATTGCCATTACAATTACTGTAATAAATTAATAACAAATTACATAGGGAACAAATATTTGGAACACTCCAAACATGGGGGTTGGGGGAGGAGGCTACAGGAAACATTTCCACAGCTGGGGCAGGGAATCTCACCTAAAACGAACTGTTATCACTGAGAAAAGATAAGCCCTGTCCTCTTAGCTACTGTGAGCGCTGCCCCTGGAAAAGCAAGACGCCCTTTCCCCTTTAAAATTGGATTCTCTGTTCTTACCACAACACAGAGGCGGCTCTGTCTTAGGGAGATTTCTACTCTGCTCAACAATTGATAATTGTAAATTACTTGGCTATGCCCCATGCTGTTCCAACATATTATCAGCTCTATCCTGGTTAGAAAAATAAAAAATATAACAGCAGCGGCAGCCGCCTGACAATGGGCTCAAGGCACCTCAGAGGCTTTGCCTTCTTTACTGCGGATGGGCTGGGGAAGGAGGTTAAGCGGGGGAGGGGAGGAGCCGGGCTGGAGACTGGGAAGGCAGAGAGTGAGCTCCGCTTGCGTGGTCCGATTGCGGCCAGGGGGAGAATTCAATCATTCGGTTTACTCCGGAACGAAATGAACAGAGAACTGGGTTAAGCTGCCCAAAGCCTACCAGAGTTCGAATACTCTCGAACGCTTTTAGGTGACAAGCAGATTAAAAAGAGCGGGGTAGGGAGAAAGGCTTTAGGAAAGGTTAGGTTCTATAGGGGGCAAGGAGGGGAAAGTAGGACTGAAGGTTTTCAAATTTACGTTTCTGAAAAGCAGTGTTCCTAAGTGCTGCTAAAGCAAACACTGGTGTAGCGGTCCGGGGTCACCCACACGTGGACCTTTTAAGTTTGCAATCCCTTTCAGCTCACGTGACCCACTGCAATATGCAAAACCTGTCATCGGTTCATTCCCATTCACCACTCATTCACACTGTGTCCATTCATGCATCCGCTCCACACTGCCCGGGCTCGCTGCACAGCTGCGCGAGGCGAATGCAGAGATCAGAGCTCTTTTTTTTTCCGCCCCACCTCAGCCCCCGGGCGGCCCAGCCCCGCCTAGGAGATGGCACAGCCTTGGAGTCCGCAGGTGCGCCGCACCGGCGGGACAGCAGGCCCCGGCCAACTGAGTCGTGCACTGCCTCGCACCAGCAGGCAGCGCCGGGGCAGCCGCATGGGCACGCCTCGCCGAGCTTCCTCACCAACTAACTGCATTCTTCCCGAAGCCCGCTTGCTAGAGCTGCTGATCTCGCCGTGCATGCTGTTGCAAAGTGCCTGGTAGACTCAAGGCGGGGAGCGGGAATCCGAGTGCCACACGCAGGGATGCCACGCGCGTGCTCCCGCTTGAACCTCACTCCCGGCGAGCGCTCGAGGGGACTTACTGAGTGTGGCAGCTTGGCGGGACCAGGTCCGAAGTTGACCACCTGCCTCGGGGCGTCCATGGTGCGGCGGCGAGGGCGGCGAGGGCGGCGAGTCAGCAAAGGAGGACCAAACGCGTGAACAGCAAGCGTTCCCGGCAGCTGCGCTACGAGTCTGCACCCAGCTCTGAGCCCCTGCCTTGTTCCAGCGCCGAGTCGGCGGCCCATTGGCCCGTGCTGCCTCGGGCCCTGCGGTCATTGGTTCGCGCGAAGGAGCTCGCAACCCCATTGGTCGCGCTTCCGAGCCGAGTCGGAGCAGTTGCTCCTCCTCGCGTTTACTGTTTCAACCCCCCTTTTTGATCAATGCAAGGAGCGCGCGAGATTGCGCCAGCCAGACAGATCCGCTGGGCGCCCGCCGGAGGATCGTGGGCGGAGAGAAGGGGCTGCCCCTGCCAACCTGCCTTCGCCCCTTGAGCCCTCCATCAGACCAGTTCCAGTCCTCCAAACCCAGCTCCTCTCCCTTGGCCGAAAGGGCAGTTGCCGAGCAGCTTTGTCGCCCCCATGCACCCACCTCTCCACCACCAGCCCCCAGTTTGGGCTAAGATGCATTTGTTCCAGAACCAGCAGTCATTAATCTACAAAACTTTTCTAAGCATCCCCACTGACGTCGGATACCCCAGTGGAGACGGAGGATCCCCCGCCCAAGATGGAAGCGGAGGATGAAGGGCGGGGGATGGGTGGATAAGGTTCTTTGTATTTGCACGTGCTGGATGAAGGAGCGGAGGTGGCCAAGGACGCAGGGGGGAACGATGGCCTGGGAAGGGTGGATGCCAGCCAGGCAAGGCCTTTAAAGTCGCTGATTCTCCATTTCCTCCTTTGTGGAACCAGTGAGCTGGAACCCTGCGACAGCTCTCAGGTTGCGCCCGCGCTGACAAGCTGTGAGTTTAGAAACGTGAGGAGATATTAATAAGAACGCGATACCCATAGGGCGCTGCAGCCCAAAACAGAGAAAGGTGGCCCCGAGCCAGGCCAGGCGCAGGGCCAGAGCTGCTCAAACTTTTCCACAGAAGTGTCCTTCTCAAAAGAACTCCAGGCGAGACCAGCATGGGGTTCTGAAACAGAAAGCCCTCCCCGCAACCCTGCAAGAAAAACGTTCCTTTGAAGTCTGGAATTTCATCATTTTTAAACTGTGAATTATGCATTCTTTCCTATCATTTAACCTAGCTAGTTTCTTTTAATGTAAAAATATTTTTCCACTTTCAGTAAAATTGATGCGCCAGGAGTATACACAGTGCAACTACCCTGTTTAGAAAAGACTTGTAATTGGACAGGGCTTTGGCTTTCCTTTGCTTTCCCTGATGAGAATGTGGGCGGTATGGGGTTGAGTGCAGAGGCACTGCTCTGGATCTGGGAGTTGAAGGACAAAGTTTTCAGAAAAAGGCGAAATGAACAAGGCGTTCCTCAGCAACTTCATTCAGAAAACTACAACATCGAAGAGAGAATGTGAATCTCAGCCCAGAAACTCATGCGTGCATGAGTTTGGCGCAATCTCGCGCGCTCCTTGCATTGATTAAAACAGGAAACGCGAGGAGGAGTGTCCCAGAAAGTATGGCTGAGTTGTTCCCACTGCCCAGGTTGATGTGGCTGCTTCCGTTGATGAGCTCCCTACTACTTCTGTGTCCCACTAAGCGGCACAAGAATTTGGGGTGGGGCAGTGGTGGCTATTTGTCTCATCTGCTAAGACATTCCCTGGAGCATTTCCTCCCTGGGGTCCTCCAGTTTCCAAGACAATATTTCAGGGACACAAGTTAAACATACCCTCAGCCTTGGGACCACCAACCTCTGTTAGTCTTCCTTCCGCCCGCCCGGGGGCAATCTCCTTTTCAGTCTAGGTAAGATCTATCTTTTCCATGTTTCTTCCTCACACTGTGTCCACAAACACCTTAAACCACAGCCAGAAACTCCTCCAGGGACCACTCAGGGATATGAAACAAGTAGTGGGAATGGTGGCAAACTGAGTTCATTTGTCCATTTGTGGCAGAGGTGCACACGGCTACTGCACATTTGTGATCCCCCATCCATGGGATAGGGTTGATGGCAGGAAGTGGCTCCCAGACTGGCTTCATGTTTCCCAGCTCCCCTTGCATCTAGGTGAGCCACATGACTGGGTCCCCCAGTGGAATGTGGGCCAAGTCATGTGTGTCACTTTCAGGCTAGGACAGTTGAAAAATGGGTGTGCTTCTCCACTTTCTTTTTCCCATTCCACAGGCTGAAAACAACAACAACAAAAAAACCCTGGCCCCTAGGGGCAGGGGAGACAGCACAAAGAGGGAGCCCCAGGTCCCTGAATCACCTGCACCAGACTTGTCATATGTAAGTGAGAAATCAATTTCTTTTACGCTATGTTACTGAAATATGAGAGGCTATTTGTTACAGCAGCTCACATTATCCTAATTAATACGCCATCCTAAACGCAACAGCTGCGGTTCAGATCCAGCTGGTTGTTGCCAAATAGGCAAATGAAGTTGCTTAAGCTATCTTCACATTTCGAAAGAAAAGCCAGAAACCCAGATCTTTATGTGACGTCTCTTTATTTTTTAACATCTATAAATGTGAATTTCAGCAAAACACTGTACAAATCAATATTTTGAGGAGTAAACTCCAGCTTATCTGAGGACTGATCGAGCCTACAGGTAACAAGCTCTCCAAAGGACTGTTTATAATGTTCTGCCCCCAGATGTCCTCTAGTTCAACAGGGAACACTCTCCGCTAAGTGCCTGAATAAAGGAGCAGCAAAGGGGGAAATATAATTTAATCTCAAAATACTATTTTGTCCTTCTTGCCTATTTTGCACTGGTCTATAAAGACAGCCCAGAAGAACCCCTGCATTTCAGGAGGGGTCCTCCCCTCTTAGTAGATTCTCATTTAGCAGGTACAAAGAAGCTTCTTTATGAAATATATATTTTGTAAAAAGGCAGAAATTCAATTTTCACAAGTGTTATTCATTGAGCACAAAATATGTGACAGATGCCAGGCTCTGCCGCGATTCCCAATCGGATCCGGCCATCCTGTTTAGAGGGGAGTGAAAAGAGAAGAAGGCAACTTGAGCAGGGGAGAAAATCTATCTATTTGGAATGAGGCAAGATTCTTTCTGCTGCCCTTTTTGTAGTTGGAGCTAAAGATCCTTTTCCTTTGTTATTCCCAGAGAAAGTGAGGAAGGGAAGCTGTGTGAGGTGGCTGATGCCTATAATCCCAGTACTTTGGGAGGCCGAGGCAGCGGATCATTTAAGTCTGGAGTTCAAGACCAGCCTGACCAACATGGTGAAACACCGTCTCTAAAAAATAAATAAATAAATAAATAAATAAATAAAATAAAAATTAGCCTTGCATGGGTCCCAGCTTCTCAGGAGGCTGAGGGAGGAGAATTGCTGACCCCAGCTCCAGCAAGCACCTTTCTACTTCCTCTCTCTATGAACCTGACCACTCTCAGTACCTCCTGTAAGCAGAATCATACAGAATGATTGATCTCAGGAGGCGGAGGTTGCAGTGAGCCGAGATTGCGCCACTGCAGTCCAGCCTGGGTGACAGAGCAAGACCGTGTCTCAAAAACAAACAACAACAACAACAAAAGTGGGAGAGAGGCAGTAATCATAGTTTATGTAGCAAAAAGAAGCCAAAAGCCAAAATCCTATTACTTTCTTTATTCTGACCCCAACAAATAGAAGATACCCATCCTACTCTCTTTACCTCAATTTATGTCCTTACCTTACTTTGCTTCATTTTCTTATTGTGACAAAATATGCATAACATAAAATTTACCATTTTCAAGTGTACAGTTAAGTGGCAGTAAGTACAGTCACACTTTTGTGTACTCGTCACCACCATCCACCACCAGACCTCTTCATCTTCCCACACTGAAACTCTGCACACATTAAATGATGACTCCCTCCAGTCCTCAGCTCCAGCAACCACCCTTCTACTTCCTGTCTCCATCAATTTGACCACTCTCAGTACCTCCTCTAAGCGGAATCATACAGAATTTGCCCTTTTGTGTGACTGGTTTATTTCACTTAACATAATGTCTTCAAGGTTTATCTATTGTGCTTCATATTTTTTTTGTAGAGATAGGGGTCTCACTATGTTGCCCGGGGTGGTCTCGAATTCCTGCCGTCAAGTGATCCTCCAGCCTTGGCCCAACAAAGTCCTGGGATTACAGGCATGAGCCACCACACCTGGCCTCATTTTGCTTTATTTTTAAAGATCAGCATAGATCTTTAAAAGATCCACAAACTTTGCAAAAGTGAAGTCCCTAAAGAGGTTATTTAAGAGGCTCTCTATGGACTAGTGAACAAAATTACACAAAGGAGGCACACTGCTTATACCTCTGACATCCTAAAAAGATTCCAAAGTGGAAAACCCATCAGAATTTATTTTACTCTTTTTTTTTTTTTTAGATGGGAACACAACTCCTGGCATCTCTGTAGCATGTTTACACACTGGTGTTCTCCACCCCCAGCCCCGCTGGCTCTGCTCATAGGAGTGTGCATTTTTGGGATCAGCACTCTTCATGAGGGCTGCCTCGGAGAAGGGTTCCAAGCGGAAGCCTGAAAACCAGCCACAGAGCACTGGTTTCACCACCTGTGCAAAGTCAACACGTGCCTATTTCAGACAGCCACTTGGGAATGACTTTTGTAGGGTTAATAATCTGTGGGTTGTTTTGTTCTTTCCTTTTCTTTATGAAGCCAGAGGAAATACTAAGGCAAAGCACAGAGATAGAGCAAATCCAGAGATGCCGGGGAGGAAGCCGGTTCAGGATGTGAAAAGTCCTGCTTCTTCCTCTTTTTCTCATGCTAAGTGCCAGCTCCAAAGAACCACACACTGCCTCAGAGATAAGCAGGGACTGTCATTTAATTGTATTGTGTGGCTTATGTTTTGTATAGAAAGGCAGCAAAGATTAAAAATAACAAGAATTCAAAGCTGCCAGGGGTGAGAGGCATTTCTGTATCCATAAAAATGAACTGGGGAGGGGCAAGGCTGGAGGGGAGAGAGCAGGAGGGGAGGGAGGACTGGCTCAGCATGTTGTGGTGTGCACATCTGAGGCATATCCAAGCAGGGTGTGTGTGAAGACTTCTTAATGACGTAGGAATACACCTCGTATGAAATCTCGAAATAAAAGAAAAAGCCACTTCCCATCAGCACAACAATTAACTATCTCCAAAACCATTTTTTTTTAAGACGACGTCTTGCTCCATTGCCCAGCCTGGAGTACAGTGGCGCTATCTCGGCTCACTGCAACCTCTGCCTCCCGGGTTCAGGCCATCCTCCTGCCTCAGCCTCCCTAGTAGCTGGGACTGCAGGCACGCACCACCACATCCAGCTAATCTTCTATATTTTTAGTAGAGACGGTGTTTCACCGAGTTAG